CCATGGGGGAGGGAGGGGTAAATGACTGCCACAAAGCAATTGTCATTGTGTCTGAGACGCAAACTGCACCAGAGCGTAGCGTTAACTCGCGTCTCCGGATCCTTCAGTGCGATAGTACAAGATAGCACCACTGCCCCTGCTGGGACGACCGTGTCGGAACAAGGACATTACCTGAATTGCGATCTCGGCATCCGTAACACCTGAGTGTAACTATGTCTCCGTCATGGAGAAGAGATCTCAAGCGTTTTTGCCTGGCACAACCGAAGCTCGGCTATTTTGCTGTGTAGGTCTTGGGCATTCGAGTACATGCAAGAAAGTGTTTCGGTTCTCAGCTACGATCCGATACAATTGTGGCTAGGATGAGAGGTTATGCCGACCGTTGTATGGTCAACCGCTAATCGTTTGTTTGTGGAATTATCCGCGAGTCGCTTGAGGGTGGGTTCCGTGGTATCGTGATTAGCCCCTCTGACAACTACGTTTGCGAAATGCATGCGGATTGGCTGCAGGATTGTACAGTAAGTTTCTCCCTTCCTTCAAACCTGTGTCCAGTGTGAATTTTCGATAATATCACTACTTCATTTGCCTGCTGTGGTGCTGTTTTAAGTCAGAGGACAATTTTGCTCGCCGCTTTGAACCGGACCTCGATTGGCAGTCTATCTCTAACTGAAAGCCAGAGTTCTGGCAGCGTAAACTCCACCTGCCTAGTTTGTAGCACAACTGTAATTACCCTTGGGCCCCACCTTTTGTAGCTTTCTGATCTTAGCAGCCTGGCGCAAGTAGCTACAACGTCATTTCAGGGCAGGGTCTCACGAATATAACGTCCCTGAGGCTGGTTGTTTGCCTTTGATTCGTATTCATAGTGCTTATGAGACCGAACGACGCCGTGTACAAAAACGGTTCTGGCTGCGATGTTTGACCGGTACTCTTCTAAGCTGTGCGTCGTTGGCTTCTGCTCACATCATGGCACGTCTAGTAAGATGAGTACCAAACCGATTTGGTTCTAGAGAAGAGCAGTGGAAAGCAACGCTGCTTCCACCGCATGGACAGAGTTTAGCACAACACGACAAAGCCTAGCTTCACCATAATGCTTGGAATTCGGGTGGAAGGTGATCCTCTTCAAGTTGAAGGGTTTAGTCAAAATACCGAAGAGGTTACTTATGGTATTCTATTGGTTCGTGTCATCCACCTGTTTTCCCTTTAAGTAATATGATGTTGACTCCCAAACGTTGGTACGTATTACATATAGAGCATCCAGTTGTTTCTGAGTGTCTTTCCTGGGAGTATGGACAGTAGTTAGGAGACCGAGTGGTTTGCTATGCATACATGAAGCGTTGCCTTTACGTGAGTTCTGGATGTGGTAAAAGAAACAGCAACATCTGATTTTGGACTGCACTTTGGTCCAACAACGGTCCAACAGCCACTGATATTTACATGTTTCCTGGGTGTAGGCGAATTCTGGTGGGAGGAAGTGGGTTTGGGAGAAATTGTTGTAACTGGGCTCGGGGTGAAGTGTTCGGGAACGCTTGGGCGATTAGGATTATTGGCAGCGTTTGCAGATGCAACTTTATTAGTGTAGCATTCGGCGGTGTTGTGTTGACTTGCAGTGGAGTTCGTTGGAGGGGTCTGTGTCAGATATTCTGCTATGCCTGTTCCTACCAAGCTAGGTTGTTGCCCAGCATATGTTTAACTACGTCTACAAGCCTTTCATACTTTTGTGACAGTGCAATTACGGTTTTAACTAATGTGAGAGTGTTATAATTCTCACAGAACCAAACTGGGTCCGGCATGCTGCTGAGCAGGCTGTATTCAATTGGTTTGATTTTCCCGCATTTCGCATGAAAGTAGGTCAAGCTGTTTTCACAGGAAACTCCTATTTTGAAGATCTGGTTGAAGCTTCCACAGGCGCCTCTAGACAGCTCGACGCAGTCAGCAGAGCTCATCAGGGCACGTAAACGTGTGATGGTTAGTCCTACCCAGGACCATGGATTGTTTGATCTAGCGTCAAGGTCAGCCCGACGAAACAGCTGGCGGTCTCAACGCCTCCCGCTCACTTGCAATCGCGCGCAAATAGCCGGATTCAGCGGTATGCACACAATCACAAGAAGACACGTTACACGAAGATGCGCGCGGGGCGCTGATAAGCTACTCTTAGTGACGCGAACTTTATCTTTCGTGGGTGAACAACACAAAAGGTCTCATACCTAAGTTATGCTGCCGCCCGTAGTGATGGTTAAATGGTCGCTTGAGAGTACTCAGCTTCTTCTACCGAATGAGACCAAAGTTACTCTCGAACAGCCTGGGAATGACGTGCTATCACAAGCATAACTCCTCGAAGAATACGCCAAAACTGAGAACAAGATTAACCGTATGATTCAGGCAAGTTAGATCCAAAAGAAGGAAGGCATCGAGTAGCGCTCCTCTAACCGGTTCGAAAGAGTGCAAGCACCAGAATGTGTGTGAAGAACTGGAATGACCACAGCGAGTGATGCGGGAGCAGAGATAAAGTGCGTCCATATGACAACCAGATTACTAAGCAGCCTGAGCAGACTTTTCCTGCTCGAAAGCCATGGCATGCTCTCCGTGATATGCGGCACTCAACGGTATGTGCTATACCTCAATCGCCCCGCTGTCTTGAAGGGCAGGTCTTTAGACCGAGGGCTCCGCGTGGGGTCCCCTGAGGAAACGTTCTTCCTCGGCCTGGGCAATCGTGCAGTATCATGCCCACATATGGACCAGCGCTCGAACAATTTTCTGCTCACTCCTCCCGCTAATTGTTACTGCTATCCACGACAAGTTTCTGGCAGCGGAACAAACTAAAGCGCGCTCTACCGCACTACCGTTCGGTTACTTTATTTCACTTTGCTCCACTCCCCAACTTTGGTAATCCCCATCCATTTCCGAGTCCACTACACCGTGCCGCTTTGGGAGATTGTTCTCGCCATGCGGATCAGGAATTTATCTCCCAGCGTGTGCCACCAAGTAGCACTGACGAACCTTTTCTAGCGGCGCTTTCAAAATTCAAGCTGGCAACCTTTAACGCCCGGAAGCTGATGCAGCTCGGATCACAAGCAACCCTTGCTCGCACGTTTGGGACTACTGCCGTTGATGTATGACGATTACATGAACTTAACATGACGCTACGCCTGGTTTCATTGTGTGCAAATTCTAATGGCACTTTTACATAGCACTTGTCTGTAGACGCAATCGCCGAAGCTGCTGGTCGTACAGGCGTGGGGATGGCGTTGAACCCAGGTGCTCAGGCCGGGCTACTTACCTGGATCTCTATCAAAAGCCGATTCTGCGCGATCCAACTTGAGACCCAGTGCGACTATCCAGCCGTGGATCCAGCGGGCACTGCTTGTTCATTGTAGCAGCATACACTCCCCAAACTGCAGTCCGGAGTCAGTTAAAGACGTGTTCTACTGTGGAAGCGATAATTCACTTGGAAGTCTTGAGTGAACGCGTTTCCACCGGTTTCAACAAAACAAGACCGGAACTGGAATAAGGTACTATTACAAATAATTAATAATGGCAATGTACAATACCTCAACAATCTGTGCTTCCGGCACAGGCGTATCAAACAAAGACAACAGTCCAAGGTAGCTAGCAAGTTGAGCTTCAAGTGTATGTAGAATAAGCTCGTCTCAATCTACTGTGGCTTTAACAGGCTTACACGTAACCAATTGGAAAGGAAGGTCGCCATGAAACTGGGCGCTCAGCCAGTACCTTACGCACACACACAACGTGATGATTTTGTAAATGTTTCAATTACACATGAAGTAACATTTACAACTGTCCTTACGGACGAGTTCGTTTCATGCATGTGAACTCTACCCACCTGCTGTCGCAACATATTCAAGTCGCATGCGATGTAAGGAATGCAGCGCTCGCAAATATCCGAATAACACGGCGCGAAAGTTGAAACGGAACACCACAAACTGATAACACGAGGCGAAGCCACATAAAGCGACAATTAGGTCTGTTCAGGACTTGGAAATATAGGGCAATAAATGCAGATTGAATGCAGGTCCTCTATGTGTTTGAAGGGCAAATAAACTTAATTAACTTGGCACGGAACACAATCTTCAGTGAGAGCCAGATAATGAAGATCGGTTGGGACAGGGAAAGGAGTTGGGCAAACGGTAAAGTGAAGCAGGGAACGGTAGAAAGGCAGCAGAGGACAGGACATTTGGGGAACTTCTACGTACTGTCAGATGTCCGACTTTCTCTGAAAAAGCGCCGTAGACACATGCTGGTGCTTGTAGTGAGCATAAATGAGCACGTCGGCAGACTTGAGGTTGAAGTGCTTGAACCTGGTGGTCTCCATGGCCATGACACACGCAGCATAATCAACGATTCTCGCCTACATTAGCTATATGCTTACAAAGGACTCTACCTGTCGAGTACTAGCTTTCGGCAATCCTGGTGCCAACGCGCGACTTAGTGGCCTCCGTCACCTGGCCAGTGATAGACGCAGATGGACCATGCCGCCACCAGTTACCGCTGATTAGGCTACCTACTTGATTGCAAATCAATCTGGAGTAATTACCTCACTTCTGCTCACACGCTCGTGTGTGTCAAGATAGTTTTAATTTCTGTGGCTCTAAACGGCGTCGCCGGACACGATTTGACGTGACCTAACTTTCTGTACGGTTGTGAAACCTGACCACTTAAAGCAGCGGACCTGAAGGGGCCAGTTACGTTCGACCACCGGTGCCTTCGTAATTTAGCTCACATCTGGTGGGAACACCGCGTGAGCAACCAGCGTGTTCGACGCCTTGTTTATGACACAGGAAAAGGAACTGAACTACTCAGCACCGTTATTTCACGCATCAGGCACCTGTTACGTGTTCAACCAATGATCGCTCAAGGAACCTGGTCGTGCGTTTTAGCGGAAGAAGTGCAATCAGAAGAAGATTGACTTTTGCTACGTGTGGCTCAATAAATCTCCAGTTCCAATTTCTGGAGTTCTCCTGAGCTTGAATATTACAGTTGGCGATCCTGCCGAGGCACGGTCTTCAGGAACCCTGTATCACTGGGCCAATGAAGAGAATGCCGAAGACAACCGACAAAGCCGATGACGAAAGTAATTTTGACGCCAATGACCCAACGTCAAAGCTCTCCGCTTCGTTCGATGTTTTATCACGGACGTTGGAGAAAATGTCGACGGCCCCAACTTCTTCAACCTGCATGCCACCTATCCCGCCGCCGCAAGTGCAGCTTTATCTCCGTCATTTCCCAGCCAACCAACATACAGCTGTGCTCGCCGGCCTGCTCTCGGGAGAGGCCTTTGATATTGTTGCGGACAGTAAAATCTTGGAGAAATAAGTAACAGCCGAGACTTTTCAGCCATGTGCCGCTTATTAGCCCGCCCCGGTATACCTGCGCCCCTACGCAGGGCATTCCATGCACGCTACCAATATACGGGGGAAACCATCCGTACGTATGTTCGCGAGCTACAGAGGATGGTCGATACCGCATACGAGAAGGAAACGGCAGTCGAACGCGAAAATCTGGTCTTGGGGCAACTCCTAGAGGGCATTCAAACGCCGTCTATTAAAAGGGAGTTTCTGCGATACGCTCCCCGCCGTTTGGACGCAGCGTTGGAAACAGGTGACCAATTGGAAGAAATAGACGCAGCGATGGGTACGCCTATATCTGGCTGTTTTGCTTTAAGAGGGAACACACGACCCAGACGTGTCCAACCCGAAAGAATGACTGGGAACCCTGGCCGTCTTCAGAGATATCCCGCCTCACGACGACCGGCACAATCAGGTTTTCGGTGGCCCCGCAGACAAACGTCATACGGCGGATCATCTCGCTCCAGGAACACGCCAGGTGAGCATGCCATGACATCAGTTGTGATACCATCTCTTACCTGCAACTCGATTGTAACGTCGTTAACACTAGAATTATCGATAGCTGGGATTTGCTTATTGGGGCTAGTGGATACTGGCGCAGCTAGAAGCCTAATCAAGGCCAACGTGAGTAAGAGCTTCCTAAACTGTGTTAGAAAACCTTGTAACGCTCGCCTTACCGCGGCCAACGGACTACCACTAGTTGTTCGGAATTCCATCGTTGACCTCGTTGTTATAGCCTGCACAACATTTAACCATGAATTTATCGTTGCTGACCGGATACCGTTCGATGTTATTATCAGAATAGATTTGTTGAGGAGGTTAAAATGCCGAATTGACCTGGAGAAGTCTCAACTAATCACTGATTCGTGCACCATACTACTGAGACCATGCAGCAACAGCAATTTTGAGGATTTTAAGTTATATGAGTGCAGTATCAAAGAGCAACAATGTGGAGACGACTTTATTCGGTCGCTTGGGCTTTCAGCTGACACATTAACACTGGCACAATTAGCGCTTGTTCTACAAAATTAATCAGACGCCTTTGCATGGAAATCCGGCGATTTGGAGCGGACCGGCCTGGTGAAACATGCTATTGACACTGGTGAGGATTGTCCGATCAAGGTGCCTCCGAGACGCATTCCAATCCACTGGCAGGGTGAGATACAGAAGCTGATAGATGAGATGTTAGAGAATTACGTTATCCAGCCCTCTAACTCCCCGTGGGCATCTCCTGTTGTCCTGGTGAAGAGAAAGGACGGTGGCTTCCGATTATGTGTCGATTAACGAAGATTGAACGAGGTTACTCGAAAGGACGCCTACCCACTACCAAGGATCGACGATCTGTTCAACGCACTTGGTGGATCTGTGTATTTTAGCACACTTGATCTGGCTTCCGGCTACTGGCAGGTAGAAGTAGAAGAGAGCGATCGAGCGAAAACCGCCTTTGTCGTGCCCTCCGGGTTGTACGAGTTTCAGACCATGCCATTTGACTTATCTAACGCTCCAGCTACCTTCCAACGCCTTATGCAAAAAGCATTAGCCGACCTGATCCCGCGTAAATGCCTTGTGTATTTGGATGATGTCATCGTACATGGAAAGACGGAAGATGAACACTTGGACAATTTGGCGAGTGTTTTGGAATGCTTGGTGAGAGTGGGATTAAAGCTTAAGCCCTCAAAGTGTCATCTCTTGAAAAAGGAAGTGGCGTACTTAGGGCACATAATATCTGGAGATGGTATTCGAACGGACCCGGTAAAGGCTGAACAGGTCAGATCGTGGCCAACGCCAACCACTACGGAGCAGTTACGTAGTTTTCTCGGGTTAGCATCATATTACCGGCGATTTATTCGAAACTTCTCATCCATTGCAGCCCCATTACACTCATTGCTAGAAAAGGGTCGAATGTTCGAATGGTTCAAGCAGTGCACAGAAGCTTTCAATCACTTACGCGAATCTCTCTGTACGGCCCCTTTGCTAATATTTCCCGATTTGTCCCCGTCTGCTGGCCAGTTTATCTTGGACACTGATGCGAGTGATAAGGCGATTGGAGCGGTGTTATCACAACTGGGATCGGATGGTGTCGAACGAGTCGTGGCATATTGTAGTCGCAGTCTTAGCTCGAGGGAGCGAAATTACTGCACGACTAGGAAAGAGATGTTGGCATTGGTATATTTCATCAAACAAAACCGACACTATCTATTAGGTCGAAAGTTTCTGGTCCGCACAGACCACCAATCACTTCGGTGGCTGCAGAATTTAAAGACCCCGAAGGCCAAATCGCGCGTTGGCAAGAGCAATTGCAGGAATATGACTTTGAGTGCAGACATCGCCCCGGTAAGCAACACGCTAATGCTGATGCATTGTCACGAATTCCCCCTCGCAACCATGGAGAGTGCCCTTCGTGTAATACGCAACACGTAGCAATCGTCAATCTTCAAGGAGCAGAGTATGGTCGGTGGCAAACGGCACAGGCGAACGACCCTGATACCGCATTGATCTACGAGAGGCGTCTTAATGGCGGCGACAAACCAACGAGTAAAGAGATGGAAGGGAAAAGTTACGAAGCTCGTTGCCTTTGGGCCATGTGGGATTACCTGACCACCGAAGAAGGGGTTTTGGTTTTCAATTTCGGACCGACGTACACGAGAAGAATCATCGTCCCGCACTCTATGGTTAGGGAAGTACTGAGCGATTTACACAAGGAAATGGGACATGCAGGGATCAATAAAATGGACGAAGCGGTTCGACGACGTTTCTGGTGGCCCCATCAACGGAGAGATGTGATCAACTACTGTCAAGCGTGCGAAGAATGTGGTGCCTTTAAAAACCCTCGTATCGTTCACCGTGCACCCTTGCAGCCCATGGTGGCCGGCTATCCTAACGAGATAGTAGGAGTGGATCTCATAGGCCCTTTACCTGAGACGCCACGAGGTAATCGCTTTATTTTGGTCATGATCGATTACTTTACTAAATGGTGCGAGGCTATACCGATAGGACAGGCGGATACGTCTACTGTGGCAACAGCTTTGGTAAATCATTGGGTCTGCCACTGGGGTGCACCAGGGCAGCTACACTCGGATAAAGGATCGTGCTTCGAGAGCTCACTGGTAATTGAAGTTTGTCGGTTACTTGGGATAGACAAAACTCGAACCACAGCGTATCATCCTCAAGGAAATGGGCAAGTGGAAAGAACAAATCGTTCTCTTAAATCGTTGCTGAAGGCCTTCGCGGACAGGAATATCAATGAGTGGGACAATGTGTTGCCCAGATGCCTACTTGCATACAGGAGCACAGTACATTCATCGACGGGACAGACACCATTCCTTATGTGGACAGGAAGAGAGGCACGATTACCTTCGGATCTACGTCTACCGATGACGCAACAGCTACAGCCGTCGGTTATGGAATATGTTAGCAAGTTGTTAGACTCCCTTTGGCAGTCTCATCAGTCAGCACGAGTGCATTTAGGGAATGCACACCGGCGTCAGAAGGAATATTACGACAAGAAGGTATTTGGCGTACCCCTGAAAGTTGGTGATTTAGTTTGGTTACACCAACCTCAAGCATCAGGAGTGCCGGCAAAGTTTCACAGAGAGTGGACGGGTCCATATACGGTAGAACGAGTGCTCTCTGAGGCCACCTGCATGATAAAGGATCGTAACAACCCTAATAGTCAACCTATAGTTGTCCAGTCCAATCGCCTCAAACCCTGTAGACGAGACGCTGAGTCAGAGAGGGCAGATTCACCACCAGTGGTCGCTCGTGAACTTGAAGTACAACTGAGGGGGCTACGAGTAGCATCGAAAACGGCGCTCGGAGGAGGGAGGGTGACGTATAGTGTGGAACGAGAACTGTCGTGGCGCGCTGCTTGACTTTGAACTGGCGCTTACGCTGCGCTCTCATTTGCCTTGCAGGAACCTGGTCGTGCGCTTGAGCAGAAGTACAAGCAGGAGAAGGTTGACTGTAACGTTTATTTTCCTTTTTTAAAATATACTTTCCTCCATTGTAGTTTGCTACGTGTTGCTCAATAAATCTCCAGTTCCAATCTCCGGAGTTCTCCCGAGCTTGAATATTACTGGTTTTTATGTGTCTCGTAGAACGAAAGCGCTTGATATCCATGGCACATTGCTTGGTAGATTGCTCATTGTTTCACTTGCATGATGCAGGAGCAAATACAACAGTACGTAAGGTTATGTGACGTAAACGTGGACTGTTTGTTCTTGCTGTTGCTTTCAATAATAAGAAAATATCTCTAGGCATGCCTTAGAAGGCTATGAATTACTTAACACCTC